CAACATGACTTCATCCTGCTTTTGTCTTTGATTCATTTGTTGAGTCATCTGTAAGGACAGTGGCTGCATAGTGGTATTTAACACTCTAGAAAGCAACAGTTGTGTGTCAAACAAGTTTAACTAAAATATTGTAAGAGTGCCAGAAACTCTGGAACCATAACTCAAAATTTCCCCTAAATACTAACAAAACTTGAACAGGAATACAAGTCCTGACTACTCCAAAAGTCTATGATAAGCAGATTGCTTTTATTTTGAGCTTAGACAGATTATTCCTCCTCACATCTAGTGTTAACCAGATTCAGCATGAAGTGCTAACAGTGGTGCCAAATTTCATCTGGTTGACCAAAACAAAATCCAAGCCTATCTATTTATCAAAAAAATAAGGAATTTAAGCTATTTCTTTGTGTCCCCAAGGCAAGGTCTCTTATTTATTGTGTCAGCCAAAATGAAAGATATATCTTTGAGGACACTCTGAAGTTATTCAACTCCTACAGATGGGACCACTGTCATCAGGTTTCTCTTTCTACTTGTTATTAATTATATTCCAAAGAAGGCTTGTATTGCTTCAGACTTCCTGTAAGAGAACAGCCCACTGAAAATGTTGGGGGAGTTAATCACCCCCAGTAGTTGAAATAACATGTCTGTATAACAATTAGCCTTATCTATAGTTTGAAAACGAAAATCCTGATTCTCATACATGACAAAAAAAATACAAAAACCCAGGAGGTACATAAATGTAATCAATTTTAATGGCTCTGTAGGATATTTTGTCTAGGTATTGTCACAATAAAATATCAATGTATGCACGTCAGGATCATGGCAGAGTGAGCTGTTTCTTTTGTCTCTCTCCTCTAAGTTACAACCTGAAGGGTATACATTGATCAACAAAAGACTTTCTGCACAGCAACCAGAATGTCTCAGAGATCCATACATCTATACATCTGAAGGTGGGCAGATTAGATCTCCTGGAGGCAGTGGAACCAGGGGAACAGTGGTGGCAGCTCCTAAAACCAAAGGGTCTAGGATCTGTGGCCACATCTGTGACTAGGGGCCCCAAGAACTGAGGTAATGCCCATGAATGGATGCTCCAGGAATCCAGGCAGCCCACTATCCTGGAGGCACCAGGAAGCACTGCAGGCCTGCAACTGGAGACTCTGGGACCTGCGACGATACTTGTGACCCAGCCCTGTCCCACTCCACCAGCAGCAGCACCTCCAACAGTGGTGGTGGCTGCATGCAAGACACAGATACCCCAGGAGCAGCAGAAGTGCCTGTGATCTGAGATTCCAGGAATCGGGACTGCGCCTGAGCCCAGAGGGTGCAGGAGCCACAGTGGCACTAATGGCTCAGCCTGTACTCCTCCCCCAGCAGTGGCGGGTTGTGCCTTTGACCTGAGGTTTCAGGAGCCATACCCCCCTACCCTGACACCAGTCCTATCAGCAGCAGGGGTTGCATACAAGACCCCGGGTCCCCAACAAAAGTGGTGACACCCATGAGCCCAATGCCCTTGGCAGCAGTCTTACCAGCACCCCCAGATAACCTGGAAGCAGCAGTGCAGATGGTACACATGGCAGCAGTACCCAAGCTTGTGGAGAGCTTGGGTAACAGTGACAGTGGAACCCATGACCCTGCCCCCCACCCAGCTGCAGAAGCACTCACAACTTTGGCCCCCCAACCTGTAGAAATGGCACCTGCAGATCCAACAAAACCAGGGTGGCAAAGGTTCCTGTAACCCTGGCTGTGACCCCACTCTTCCACTCCCCTTCACTGCAGTAGGGGAACACATGACCCAGGCATCCCTGGAAGCAGCAGAGGTGCTCGCAGCCCAGTGACCACAGCAGTGACACCCATGACTACACTGACATAAGCAGCAAGGCACCAGCAACCTCAAAGCCACAAGCAGCACAAGGAGGGCACTAAGGATGCCTCTGGCAGAGGCAGTGGAGCGTGGAAAGTACAGGCTCTTAAATATAATCAGAAGCAACTCAGAATCAAAGTAAACAAAGTCTTACCCAAATAAGAAAGGTGTTTGATCTCAAAAATATGTCTGCAGAGGAATAACTCATCAAGCACTATGAGAAACTATAGTAACATTGTAGCACAAAAAGAAAATGACAACACTCCAGAAACCAAACTTAAAATCACAGAAGATTTAGATCTAAGAGATAGAGAATTCAAAACAGCTGTCATGAAGAAATGTCATGAAGAAACTCAGTGAGTTACAAGAAAACCCAGAAAGACAGTTCAACGAGCTCAGGAATAAAATTGATGAATAGAAGGAGTACATTAAAAAGATTGAAATTCTAAAAAACACCAAACAGAAATTCTGGAGCTGAAGAACATGATAAAGGAGATGAAGAATAAAGTAGAAAATATTGGAAATAGAGCAGACCATATGGAAGAGAGAATTAGTGAGCTCAAAGATAGAAACCTAGAAATGATTCAGGTGGAAGACAAGCGAGACTAAAATTTTTTATAAATGGAGAAATTTTATGAGAAATATCCATCTCAATTAAGAACAGCAACATAAGGATATTGGGTATCCCAGAGGGGAAAGAGAAGGGGAAAGGACAGAAAGCTTATTCAAAGAAATAATAGCTGAGAACTTCCCAAACCTAGGGAAGAAACTGGATACACAAGTACATGAAGCTAACAGAACTCCTAATTATCTCAACGTGAAAAGACCTTCTCCAAGGCACGTTATTTTCAAAGTATCAAAAGTCAGTGACAAACAAAGAATATTAAGGATGGCCAAAGAGAAGAAAACAACTTACAAAGGAACTCCTGTTAGGCTATCAGTGGATTTCTCAGCAGAAACTCTGCAGGCTACGAGAGAGTGGAATGATATATTCAAAATATTGAAATATAAAACTATCAGCAAAGAATACCCTATCTATCAAAGTGATCCTTCAGATATGAAGGGGAAATAAAGGCTTTCCCAGACAAACAAAAGATGAGAGAGTTCATTGCCACTAGATCTACCTTATAAGAAATGTTGAAAGGAGCCCTTCTACCAGAAACAAAAAGGCAAAGGTAACCAAAGCTTTGAGCAAGGTGATAGATAGACAGAATCAGAAAATTGCAACTCTATACCAGAAGAAGTTGGTGAACACTTAATTATAAAGTAAAGGCTAAAGAGAAAGAAAGCATAAAAACTAACTATAACCCCTATAACCAACCAATTTAGTAACAAACTCACAATACAAAAAGGGATAATTTGTGACACAAAACACAGCAGGTGAACAGGAAAAGGATCAAACATGCATAAGTAAGTGGAGATAAGGTGCTACCAGCAGAAAAAGAAATACCTCATCTATGAGATCTTTTATACAAACCTCACAGTAACTACAAAACAAAAATTCAGAGAAGAGTCATGAAACAAAAAAAGAGGAAACTGAAAAACACATCATAGAAAACCACCAAACTAAAATGGCAGACAGAAACACAAGGAAAAAGAAATGATGGAAATATAGAACAAACAGAAAACAAAAGATAAAGTAACAGTATTAAGCCCTTATATATGAATAATCATTCATATGTAAACGGATTGAATCACCAATGGAAAGACACAAAGTAGCTGGATTGATTAACAAACAAGACCCAACAATATGCTGTCTCCAGGAGACCCAGCTCAGCTCTAAAGACAAGCATAGGCTCAGAGCGAAGGGACAGAAGATGAGACTCCAATCCAATGGCAACCAAAAGAAAGTGGGTGTAGTCATACTTATATCAGACAAAACAGACTTCAAGCCAAAAAATATAACAAGAAACAAAGATGGACATTATATAATAATAAAGGGGACAATACACCAAGAAGACCTAACATTTATTAATATATATGCACCTAACATAGGAGCACCAAAATATATAAAGCAATTTTTAACAGACCTAAAAGGAGAAATTGATTGACAGCAACACAATAATAATTGCAGGGGATTTTAACACACCACTTACATCAGTGGATAGATAGATCATCCAGACAGAGTGTCAACAAGGAAACATTGGCCTTAAATGAAACACTAAGCCTGATGGACTTAATAGACATATATAGAACATTCCATCCAAAGCAACAAAACACATGTTGTTCTCAAGCGCCTATGGAACATTCTCAAAGATAGACCATATCTTGAGAAACAAAACAAGTTTCAATAAATCTAAAAAGACTGAAATCTTGTCAAGCATCCTTTCTAACCATAATGGTATGTAACTAGAAATAAACTACAAAAAGAAAGCTGGAAAAATCATAAATATGTGGAGACTAAACAACATGCTACTGAATAACTATTGGATCAATAAAGAAATCAAAGGTGAAATTAAAAAAATACCAGGAGGCAAATGAAAATGAAAACACAACATACCAAAATCTATAGGATGCAGCAAAGGCAGTACTAAGAGGGAAGTTTATAGTAATACTGGCCTACATCAAAAAACAAGAAAAATCTCAAATAATCTAACACTGCACCTAAAAGAGCCAGAAAAAGAGGAACAAAGCCCAAAGTCAGTAGAAGGAAGGAAACAATAAAAATCAGAGCAGAAATAAATGAAATAGAGACTAAAAGGACAATAGAAAAGATCAATGAAACTATGAGTTGGTTCTTTGAAAAGACAAGCAAAATTGATGAACCTTCAGATAGACTCACTAAGAAAAAAAGAGAGGAGACTCAAATAAAATCAGAATGAGAGAGGAAAAACTGCTACAGATACCACAGAAATACAAAGGATTATAAGAGAATACTGTGAAAAGCTATACACCAACAAACTGGATAACCTAGAAGAAATGGATAAATTCTTAGAATCATAAAATCTCCCAAAACTGAATGAAGAAGAAATAGAGAATCTGAATAAGTCAATCATAAGCAAAGAGATTGAAATAGTAATCAAAAACCTCCCCAAAAAACAGAAGTTTTGGACCAGGCGGCTTCTCTGGTGAATTCTACCAAGCATTCAAAGATCTAACCCCAATCCTTCTCAAACTTTTCTAAAAAATTGAGGAGGATGACACATTTGCTAACTCATTTTATAAGGCCAACATTACCCTGATACCAAACCAGACAAGGACAACACAAAAGAAGGAAAATTATAGGCCAATATCACTGAGGAACATAGATACAAAAATCCTCCACAAAATATTAGCAAATTGAATACAACAATACATTAAATGAATCATACACCACAATCAAGTGGGATTTATTCAAGGGATGCAGGGATGGTTCAACATCTCCAAATCAATCAATGTGATATACCACATTAACAAAATAAAGAATAAATCACGTGATTATCTCAATAGATTCAGAGAAATCATCTGGCAAGATTCAGCATCAATTTATGAGAAAAAAAATCTCAGTAAAATTGGTACAGAAGGAAAGTACCTCAACATAATAAAGGCCATAGGCAACAAACCCACAGTCAACATCATACTCAATGGTGAATACCTGAAAGTCATTCCTCTAAGAACAGAAACAAGACAAGCATGCCCACTCTCACTACTCCTATCCAACATAGTGTTGGAACTCCTAGCCATAGCAATTAGACAAGAAAAAGAAACAAAAAGTATCCAGATTGGAAAGGAAGAAGTAAAACTTACTATTTATGGATGACATGATTTTACATATTTAAAAAACCATTAAAAATCCACCAAAAAACTATTAGAAACAATAAATGAATACAGTAAAGTTGCAGGGTGAAAAATCAACATACAAAAGTCAGTCACATTTCCATACACTAACAGCAAACTAGCATAAAGAGAAATCAAGAATACAATCTGATTTTCAATCACAACAAAAAGAATAAAATACCTAGGAATAAATTTAATGAAGGAGGTGAAAGATGTGTGTACTGAACTGTAAGACATTGTAGGAAGAAAGTGAAAGAGACGTAAAGAAATGGAAAGATACACTGTGCTCATGGATTGGAAGAACAAACATAGTTAAAATGTCCACATCACCTAAAGCAATCTATAGTTTCAATCAGATCCAAATCAGGATCCCAACATCACTTTTCATGGAAATAGAATGAAGAATCTTAAAATTTATATGGAATATCAAAAGACCCCAAATAGCCAAATCAATCTTGAGAAAAAAGAACAAAGCTGGAGGTATCACACTCTCTGATTTCAAAATATTCTGCAAACCTATAGTAATCAAAACAGCATACTTGCCGACAAACAGACACACAGATCAATGGAACAGAATTGAGAGCCCAGAAATAAACCCAGAAGTCTATGGACAGCTAAATTTCAACAAAAGAGCCAAGAACAGACAACAGGGAAAGGAAAGTCTCTTCAGTAAATGATGTTGGAAAAACTGAAAGCCACATGCAAAAGAATGAAAGTAAACCATTATCTTACACCATACACAAAAATTAACTCAAAATAGATTAAAGACTTGAATGTAAAACCTGAAACCATAAAATTCCTAGAAGAAAATATAACCAGTGTGCTCTTTGACATTGGTCTTAGCAGTATCTTCTTGAATGTTGTGTCTCCTCAGGCAAGGGAAACAAAAGAAAAATTAAACAAATGGGACTGTATCAAACTAAAAAGCTTCTGCATGGCAAAGGAAACCATCAGAAAAATGGAAAGACAACCTACCAATTAGTAGAAAATATTTGCAAATCATATAGCCAATAAAAAGTTTACATGCAAAATATATAAAGAACTTGTATACTCAATGACAAAAAAACAAACAACCTGGGCAGAGGATCTCAATAGATATTTTCCAAAGAAGATATACAGATGGGCAACAGGCACGTGAAAAGATGTTCAACATCACTAATTATTAGGGAAATGCAGATCAAAACTATAATGAAACATCACCTCACACCCATCAGAAAGGCTATTATTAAAAAGACAAGTAATAACAAGTGTTGGAGACCATGTGGAAAAAAGAGAATCCTCCTACACTGCTGGTGGGAATGTAAATTGGTGCAGTGACTATGGAAAACAGTATGGTGATTCCTCAAAAAATTAAAAATAGAAATATCATAATCCAGCTATTTCACTTCTGGGTATTTATCCAAAGAACATGAAAACACTAATTCAAAAAGATATATACACCCCTACTTTCATTGCAGTGTTATACACAATAGCCAAGACTTAGAAGCAACCCAAGTGCCCATCAACATATGAATAGATAAAGAAGAGGTGGTATATCTATACAACGGGATACTACTTAGCCGTAAAAAATACGAAATCTTGCCATTTGCAACAACATGGACGGACCTTGAGGGTATTATGCTAAATGAAATAAGTCAGAGGGAGAAAGACGTTTACTGTATGACTTCACTCATATGTGCAAGATAAACAAAAAATCACGTAGATATGGAGAACAGATTGGTGGTTACCAGAGGGGAAGTGGGGGGTTGCAGGGTGAGAGGGGTAAAGGAGCACACGTATACGGTGACGGATGGCCAGTAGACTTTGGTGGTGAGCACAATGCAGTCTATACAGAAATCGAGATATGATGTACACCTGAAATTTATGTAATATTGTAAACCAATGTGACCTCAATGAAAAAAAAATGTGTGTAACATCCTTCAATATATCTGTTCCCCTTTTCCGGAGCGAAGATATGGTTTTTTATGTTTGTATTGTCTACAAAGTGTATGATTATTCTGAACAGTAATATATGATATATTATTCTTTAATTTGTCTGTAGCAGCAATAGCTGTGACAGCTGTATTACAGAGCTAACGTTTTAATGGTCCCTCATAAAACCTAGATTTAGGCAAGTTATTAGTGGTAATAAGGAGAACTTTATAGGATAAGTCATAAATGTATAACTTTAAACAAAAGGAAAAATATGACTAAAAGCATAAAGAACAATATTTAAAGAAGAGCGTGGTAATCGGTGATTCCAAGTAGTGAGAATAATTTTGTTCTGAGAATTTTGAGAAGAAACAGTCTCATGCATATTCATGCAGTCATATGCCTGTTCTGAGAATCTAGTAGTCCCGGACAATAAATATCTAAGATAATTCTGACTTCTGTGGCAAATTTCTGTCCTTCTTCCTGAGGTTTAAAAAAATACTTAATCATAGGCCTCAACTTCATTCTACCCTTGGGTTTAAATATAAGATATATAGTACCACATTCTGGTAAAACATTAAATGTAAAAGTGATTAAAAATTAGCAAAATATATTAAAGTTCACAAAATAAATGAATAAAGGTGAAGAAAATAAAAAAGAATAATGAAAGGATAGTTACAACAATTTTTTACTCTAAACACAAAACCAACAATATGACTCAAATGTGCTTATGAAAACCATGATTTATTTGTGAATTTATAAATTCATATGAAATAAAAGATCAAATTTTTTGCAATTATATGTAATTCATACATGGAATGTCTTTTTAATTCCTAAATAATTTGGATTTGAGTTAGTTTCTTAACACAAATGGGGCCATGAAAATGTGCTCTGTGAGGAAAAGAAATACTGTTTCCTTAGCAACAAAAATTATGTTCAGAAAACAGTTTAACATATAATCTCTTTGTTTCATTTGCTGTCATGCTCATTGGAACTACAAGCTTGAAAAGTTAATTTAGGGACCTTAATTAGAAGTCAGTTAAAATAAACTAAATTTTGTTATTCATACAAAATAACTATAAAGAAAATGTGGCGCATGTATCTGATGGAACCACTGACAAGCTTTTTGATAGAGGGTACACGAAAAACATGATGAACGCATACAGTAGTTTTTCCCTAACCCATATAATATAAAGTTACATTTTAATTTTAAGGTAATATCTTAAAATTGAAAAGGACTGGAAGACTTTTCTTCTAGGAGTCTAAAATTTTGTTTTTTGGTTATTTCTCCCAATACATGGGTTAATTGTGTAAAGAAATTTCCAAATATGTGGTCTTTTGATGAGATTTGCACACTGATATTTGGATCAAATATACTAAATATCTTATTCTAAAGAATTTCAAATCATATCTGGATTTATTACGAACATAGCCAATTATGCTTAAATACCTATTGAAAATTTTTTTATGCTCAGTGTTTATAAATGATAAAATGTTAAATTCTATGAATGCTTGTCAGTAATGGTTCTTATCTCTCAGGTGTATATTGTACACATAATTCATTAATACGTTTATTCATTGTTTACCCTTGGAAAGCATTGTCCTAACAGCTCTAGAATATTGGATTATGAAATACTTTTTAGGAAGGGTAATAGATAACATACTTTTTATCTTCCAAAATTCAGAATTTAGTGAGAAATAAGATAAAGCTAGACAAATGGAGATCAAATGTCACTGTATTACTAATAAAGCTAATTAAAGGACGTGATTTTATGTGAGTGGCATAGTGGGCTGACCATTGTGGCTATAATTAGACAAAATTATCCACCAATTACTTGCAGAGATGGACAAATATAAGGTTCTCTCCAAGAGATGGAGCCTGCCCCCTTAGCTCACCATATGTCTAAGAGAACTCATTCTGTATAAAGACTGAAAGCACCTTTAGTAAACAGGCATATCTGAAAAGGAAAAGGTAATGGGGCTTAATAGGATGTCATTATTTTCTTCTCTCAAATTCATCTGTCAAATATATCACTGCTGAGAGAAAGTGAAATTGTTGTTACATCACAAAATTCTTGCTTCTGGGAAATGGAATGGAAATTCTTTCCTTCTATACAAAGTGTGGGATATCTCTCTCTTAACATTTAAACTAAATCATTGAAATGTCACCCTGTGGAGTCTATAAATCTATATGAATAAGAATTTTCTACTGACCAAATGCATACATTTCGATATATAGGTATTGTTTTTCAAATGAATCCATATGTCATTGTGATTAATGAATATAAATGCCTTTGAATATATTACCAGAGATGAAGTATCTTTCAACATTGTACATTTTCTCGATCAATAGATACTAAAAGTACAACTACTATTCTTCAAAGATTCATTCCACTTTTGGTTTTGGGCATTAATGAGGGTCTGTCATAGTAAAAAACATTGGAACATAAAATAATTAGTTTCCACCTGTAACTGGTTTTAAAGCATTGACCTGAATTGTGCCATTCTAGTTCATCTATGTTGGATCATTAATTTGCAGTCTGAGGATCATTTCAGAGAAATTTAAAAACCAAATAGCATAGAATGATCCCATTAAATATGATGTTCATAATTAGTGTTTCACATTTTATAAGTATACTGGCCACCAAGCTACTTTTCTGCTGGTGGCCACTTTTGAATTTGGCTTCTATCTGAATTAAGTGTATCCTATGTTCTTTGACTCTTGAAAGTACAAAGAAATCTACAGATAACTTAGTTCAAATTTCTTGTGAGTAGATAAGTAACCTAGTTTGTGGTTAAGGGCACAGGATTTTGGAAAGCTAGACAGTCAAGACTTCAATTCCAGCTCATCCATTATTTAATTGTCTGTTTTTCCATCTTCAATGGAGATAACGTTGTGAGGATTTATATTTATAAAAAGTTAGTTACAGTGTATGGCATTTAATAAATATGGCTGCTGTTAATAAAACTCAGTTCCAATGAAGCATCCTCAATTTTATTAAATGGCATCCTCAATTTCACAAAACTGAGGTTCAAATCACGTTTTATAATGGCAGTGCAATATGTCTGGAACTGTCACCAACTAGGTGCCTCGAGAAACTCAAGGGTGGGTTCAGAAACAATTAACTGTTTTTCCAAGTTGTTTCTTTCCCTTTGTATCTTAAGGAGGTGTAACCACCAGCCAACCTGAAACTGACCAAGTGAGAAACTCAAGGGAGATGTAACCACCAGCCATCCTGAAACTGATCAAGCCTCACCACATGAGCTGTGCCCATGACCTTTGCCTTGCTGTTAATGCAAAGATGGCTCCAGGAGGAGCTTGGGCCTCCTTATGTGGAAGCATGTTCTCCAACTGAGCCTGTGAAAGCGAATACCCACCTCTCTCTTTTGAATATTCATTCCCAACCAAATAGAAGTGCCTGCTTCCCTTTGTTCAGGGATGTCATGACTTTGGAAATGATTCCTCATGCCCTCCTATTTGCTGCAAATACGCTTTACTTTGTGAGACAACTTCCACTGGTGTAGAGTCTTATTAAACTCACCAGGAGGTGAGCCCACTTGGGTCAGTAACAGAACTACTTTCTCAAACACATATTTAAATAATAAAGTACTTAAAGTTCCCTTTCTACCTTAGAAGTCTAATATCACTACTGAATGTTATCTAACTCAGGCCCTTAAAAGTCAATTTAATACAATGATCATTAACTGAGGACACATTTTTTTAGGAGACAGCTCTTCCCCTGAAAAACGATTCCAATCAAACCAATGAAAATATTTCATAATACATCCTAACTTTTGACACTGCAATTAGATTTATTGTAAGTTCATTAAAAATGTTAAATAACAATAATTTTCTACTATTGAAACTTGTTTCCTGTTCTACTTCTATTATATTATGCATTGTAACACCTTTGACTTTCTTTTTTCCTACAGAGGCAGTAGTCCCAGATATGTGAGAAGTCAGAGAAGGACTAATAAGTAAAATTTTTGGAATGTTACTGTATTTCTTGCTTAGAGTGTAAGTCCCCAGACTGAGTATATCTGTCTTAATTACTAGTACATGTGCCAGCAAATTTAACAGTCCTATATCATGGCTGGTATCCAAAAATAATGTTGATAAATGAATGCCCTAAAAACAATGGCCACACTGTCAATAGTGAGATTTGATTTTATGGATCATAAGTTAAAATTCCAAAAAATAAATTCCTAACAAGGGAAGAGACGATTTTGTAAAAAGAAATATGTTTAGCAGGAGAATGCTATTCAAGAGAGATGTTAATTTATATCTGTGAGAGGAGAAAAAGAAAATTGTATACTTAATTCCATTGAATGGCATTAAGTGTTAATTTCATGATAGTGGATGTGTTTCACTACGTCTAAGGAAATGAATCCTAGAGGTATGTTGGAAACCTACGCAATCTTACCATAGGAATGAATTCACTGAGTAACAAAACAAATGTGAAACTTGAACACATATGAAACATCTTCTCAAGAACATGCTTCTGGCATTGTGAGATCAGATACAGCTGAAAAATCAACAGGAACAAAAACTGTGTGCTTAAAGCAAACACACCAAGAGATTTTACTAAACTGTAATGGGATCTAATGCTAAAATTATGAGAATACTACTCTATATGAAAATTCATAAAATAGAGGCTGAATTATTTTCAAATGCACAAAGGAAAACTGAATTGACGTAACTATACAGATAGACTTACAGG